GACAGCAAGGGGTTATGGGACATCAGGGGTAGTGGTGGGACACCAGGGTGTGGTGGTGGGAATCGGGGGGTGATGGTGGGACGTTAAGGTCAGAGGTGGGCCACCAAGAGAGAACAGTGGGACAGCAAGGGATGGTGGTGGGACATCAGACTATGGTGGTGGGACATCAGACTATGGTGGTGGGACATCAGGGATAGGGGTGGAACACCAGGGTATGGTGGTGGGATATTGGGGTCAGAGGTGGGCTACTAGGAGAGACCAGTGGGACAGCAGGGGATGGTGGTGGGACATCAGGGGTTGGTGGTGGCACATTAGAGGATGGTGGTGGGATGTGCCATGATGGGGCTGTCCTGGGGGTGGGTGTGTGTGTGTCAGGTGGTGTCGGGGGAGTTCAGCGAGGACAGCGAGGTCTACAACTTCACCCTGCACGCCGGGGACGAGCTGACGCTGATGGGCCAAGCCGAGATCCTCTGCGCCAAGACGGTGAAGGAGAAGTCGCGCTTCAACACCATCCTGCGGAAGCTGGGGAAGGCGGCGGGGCCGGCGGCGGGGGCCCGGCAGGTGAAGGGCAAGATGCCCTGCCTCATCTGCATGAACCACCGCACCAACGAGAGCCTCAGCCTCCCCTTCCAGTGCAAGGGCCGCTTCAGCACCCGCAGCCCCCTGGAGCTGCGCCTGCAGGAGGGCGAGCACACCATCCGCAGCATCATCGAGAAGGTGCGCCTGCCCGTCAACGTGGCCGTGCCCAGCCGCCCGGCCCGCAACCCCTACGACCTGCACGCCATCCGCGAGGGCCACTGCTACAAGCTGGTCAGCATCATTTCCAAGACGGTGGTCCTCTGCTGCATCCTCCGCCGCGACGAGCTGGTGCCCTTCCATTTCCTCCTCCTGACCGACATGCCCCGCTTCCAGCTGCCCGAGGGGCTGCTGGCCGGGGACCCCCAGCTGGAGAAGCTGCTGCGGGACAGCGCGGCGTACTGCCACGACCGCTTCAACCCCGACGAGTACTCGCGGGCCGTGCGGGAGGCCAAGCCCGACTTTTCGGAGGAGTGCGCCAGCCCCCGGCGCCTGCGGCTCTGCCTGCCCCCCTGCGCCCGCGAGGAGCTCAGCCAGCCCCTCCAGCGCCTCTCCCTCTGCCCCTGCGCCACCGGGGCGCCCCGGGAGCCCCCCGCCCGCTGCCAGGGACCCCGGGGAGTCCCGGGGGGCACCCCCCGCCCACCGCTGCCCGACTTCCCCGACCCCGACCGGGAATACATGACGCCCGACTGGGCCGAGCCCGAGTTCAGGACTCAGGAGCCGCTGGAGATCCCTTACGAGGAGCTGTGGAGCAATCCCGAGGGATGCTGCGAGGCGGGCAGCGGCGCCGGCCGGCAGGACCTCCTCTCCCTGGGGGCCGTCACCCCGCTGGGCTCCCCGCGTCGCCCCGGCCTGCCCGGGGACGAGCCCCGCGGGGACACCCCACCTCCTGTGCCACCCAAGTCGGAGGCGGTAAGAGCCACACGGTCCTGTCCCCGGGGAGGGGGAGTGACATCCCGGGGGTCCCGCCTGCTGCCCCGGCTGGGGGTGATGCACTGGGGCAGCCAGGGGGGGTGACCCCCAACACGGATGTGGGCAGCCTGGGGCCATCTGCCAGCCCCACAGCACGGCCAGCCTGACCCCCACCCTGGGTGCTGTAGGGCTCTGGGCTGGGACCCCCGTCCCTTGGCTCTGGGGGGGGGTGTCCCTCCCCAGCTCCGTACTGTCACCCAAATCCTCTGGGCTCCCCAACACCATGGGGTACCCAGTTCCCCAGGGCTCCCCATCCCCAGGAGGTACCCAAATCCTCAGGACACCCTCGTGCCATGGGGGTCCCCAGGGCTCTCTGCACCATGGGGTACCCAAATCTTTTGGGCTTTCCATCACCACGGGGCTACCCAGATCCTCTGGGCTCCCCTGCATTGTGGATTTTGGGGTCCCCAGGGCTCCCCTGCACTGTGGGGCACCCAAATTTCTGGGGCTCTCCATTAGTACCCAAAGTTTCATGGCTCAACTGGGTCCGGCTGCCCCCGAGCCCCCCATCGCCCCCTCCAGCTGTGGGGTCCTGGGAGCAGATTCCATGGCACCGGGGGCCTGACAGAGCTTGCCCCCCCCTCCAGGTGAAGGAGGAGTGCCGGCTGCTGAACGCCCCCCCTGTGCCGCCCCGGGGAGGCCGCCCCCCAGCACCCTGCAGCCCCCCAGCACCCTTGCGCTGCCCGAAGCTGGCGCCTGCTCCCTCGCCCAGCCCCAGCCTCTCCTACTACTCCTCGGGGATCCACGACGGGTGAGTGGCTCCGGTGGGATGGGGACGGGGCGGGTGGGCTGACACCCCCGGGTGGGATGTTCCTGCAGCCACGGGGTGATGGTGGGTGAGAAGCTCAACAGGAGCTGGCAACCCCCCGCCCCCTGGGCTGCATCCCCAGCCCCGTGGCCAGCAGGGCCGGGGGGGGGAATTCTGCCCCTCTGCTCCGCTCTGGGGAGACCCCCCCAGTGCTGCCTCCAGCTCTGGGGCCACCAACAGCAGAAGGAC